CTAATGTTCATTTTTTATTTTCTTTATTTATTTTATTTATATAGCTGATAATATATATGATATTAGTTAAGTCTATTTATTAACCTTATATTTTTAATTATTTTCGTTCATAAATTACGATTTAGAAAATTCACAAGTACGATTTAAGCAGCCGATTGCTTATAATAAATCGCATCTTTTACAGCATATTATAAAAAAGACTTGTAACAAATTAATTAATTTAGTTATTGGTGACAAATTAAACATATAATAACAGCTGAAACGTCAAGCTACAATTTCCAATGTTCATTTATGTACAGATAAGTATCAAATGGAAAATATATTAAAAAGTATTTTAAGTAGTACGCATTCGTTGCCAAAACTCTCTTCTATTATTTAATTATATTATGCTTCTACACACATACATGCACGCACACGCACACGTATACGCACACCCATGACGTGTAAAAAAATCAGGAGACACAGATTCCATAAATTCATTCAAATAGTATAATACAAGTACCTTTAATGAAGTTCATTTTAAGAGTTTGTAACGTATTATTTTGTGAAATCAATAGCATAAAACTCGCTTAAATTCATATTGTATAACACGGTTTATCGCATTCTTGCCAAAGTGTGCCCATTTAACCGAGTCAAATGTGAAACATCGCGTGCATTTTCATCTCAGCGATTTACGAAGCTGCACTGACAGCCGCTAGTAGAACACCAGCTTTTGCAATTCATGATCTAGAAAAGCCCCAGCAAGCTTTCGAAACGGCGACGAATACAGGCTCGCCTGTTTGTTTTCAGCGCGCGACGAGTGTAACTGAACGTTTTCAACCGCAAAATGATGCTCGCGGTCGCAGGCATCGTGTAAACACGCGCATTCAACGCAGCAAAATCGTCTTTCTCTATTTTTTTTTACGCCCTTCTCTGACATGCCACGCTTTTGTTCTCCTTTTGCCACAGGCCATGCTTGCACTACATAGGTGCTCATTTTCACGTAGCATTGCATCATAGCATTTAGTATCATCTCTTACTATCGTTATCTCAAACATCATAATCAACAATATGATACACTTGAATATATGCAGGTACAAATGCAGAAGCAGGAATTGCAGATCTAAATCAGCGAGAATGCTATCCAGATAAATGCAAATGCAAGTTCAAGCATAGGTCCAGATACTTACGAGGGACCCTCGCAAAGTGTCAGATTTCAATTTTTAATGAAATTTTTATACATATAGGTTACGTAAATAGATAAATTAAAAAAATATTAATTGCGGCCAATAAACGATTTTAAAGGGTGAAATAATCCCTTTAAAAGGCAATTTTCAACTTTTTTGTTATATTAAAAAAATTATTCGAGATGTCAAACAATATTTTATATAAAAGTCTTATAATGTGAAATTATATCTATTTATCTTAATATAATACTTTGTAAAAATAATTTTAAAAATATAAATTTGGAAAATAATTATCTTTAAAAAATATTATTGACGTAGATAAAGAAAAAGAATTTGATAATCAAACTTTTATATAAAATATTTTTTTTTTACCTTAAAAGTTCATCTTTGTATCTTAACAAAGAAAGTTGAAAACTGTTTTAAATAATATAAGTGGTAATATTCTCTAAATTCTATTACAACTGGTATTTTCTAAATTCATCTATTTACTTAACCTGTATATACAGGATATAACTAAAATAACGCCCACTAGTATAATGCTTTTTCTAATAAAAACTAAGACGAAAAGTCCTCTGTCATTTTGCAGTTTTCGCAATATTCTGTTTTAGTTACCTAATGTAAACAAATGTCTAAAATCAATGTATAAAATCAATGTAGCTTTTAGATATCTCTTTAAGAGTTCTTTAAGAAAAATCTTTAAAATATTTCACAAAGAACACGGAAAAATATTTTAAAATTATCTTATACATCGATTTTATTCGTTTATTTGGCAATATTTGGAAATTTATATTTCGTTAACTATTGCGAAAATTGCAAAATGGTAGACTTTTCGACTTAGTTTCTTTTATTTATTTAGGAATAGCACTGTATGATTAGTGAGCGTTATTTCAGTTACATCCTGGACATACACACACACACACACACACACACAAAGTTTCATTAAAATTAGAATTTGACACTTTGTGAGATTCCTTGTTGATAAATTGATGAAAGTATAATTACATGTAATTATAAATACTAAAAACATTCAACTTCCTCTTAATACCAAAAAATACCATTAAATTTCATTTTTCGGCAATCGAGATTTTACCTACACTTTAACGCAAAAGGATTACGACGGTTTGCGCGCGCAGCGTATGTCCAATTTATCGTTCTGTTATCATTCATGTTCATCGATCGAGGCAATATGAATGCAATCATCGCGGCAACGACATAAAATTTACTGCATCGGCCGTAAAATTTACCGTGGACCAGAACGTTCATCGACTGCACATTCGTTGTCCACGAGATCGTTACAAGTAACCAACGATTGAAAATTACCGAGAAATCTAATCTAACACAAGGCATCTCCATTCTCGATGTCATCGAATGATAACACCATATCTTCTTAAGATCATTAAACGCGGTTTAAATTACTTTCTATTACAATTTCATTCTGATTAGCGGTAAAATTTTTATACTGCAATGCGGATGCTACGAAATTGATTTAAGAAATATCAGCGCACGGAAATATCAGTAAGCGTTACTCTATGACATGGCTTAGCGAGATGCCGGCAAGAGATACGGCACGTCTCTGATTGCGTTTCTTAGCTTACAGCTACCCCTTACTGTCCATCCCCCGTCTGTCGCCACCCCTTTCGGCACCCGCGCCGACCGCACTTGTCTCTTCCCTTCTGCTTTCTCCTCTCTTAACAGCGCAGCTATTCTCTCTCGCGGTTTTTCTTTCGGTCCAGGAGAGTCCCAGGGTCGGATTTAACTCTTCAATCTCAGAAGTTCTTTTAACTTTAGTCTTGCTTTCTATACACGATAGTTTATATCATACTCGTGTATTTCGTTTTCAATTATTATTCTTAAGGTGCAGAAGAATTTATTAAACACACATATTTGATCATATTTGACCGAGTACGTACGTAATTGTAGGTACATTACAAATTATTAATCCTTAATTACTATTTTTCAGACTTGCATATCCCTCGTTTTAACTATTTTAAGCCTTTTAAAATTACATATAATACAATACATAATTTCTTCTCATCATTTTTATTCATGAATGAAATAAAACAATCGAGACAGGATTACTAGCGAACTTCCTGGTAAACGGAAGTAACACGGCTGTAATAACAGAGACACTTAACTAAACTGCCGAAATAAAACAACCACCGCGTGCCACATATGGGACACCGCTAACAATCCCCAAGAGGTGAAAATTTGCACGAAGCGGCCCTGAACGGAGATGGCGTGCTTAGAGTAAACGGGGAAGAGAAGAACGGAGAAGCTTTACAGAATTAAGGAGCCATTCGCCTTTCATTAACTCACTACGAGCCCAAGGGGGAGAGATATTCCCTTCGTGCTAACTCATCCTCAGTTTATCACTACGTAGACGGAGGGAGGCGACTGTCTCCGATAGAAGGACTGGACTTTTATCCTGCCGCGAGACCATTTACCACCGTCGCTGCGCTTGGCAAATAGGTAAACGAGATCTCTCCCGATTCTCCTAAACTCTTCAACCGCGATCTAGATTGCACTACTTCGTTAATCAAGACGATAAAACGCGCAATCCGTTTGCGTTTTCCATTCCTCTCTCGCGTTTATTTTCCTTTGAACATCCTCGAGTTTTAGATTAAATTTGAAGTAATCGGCGGCTCTCGCCTTAATCGCTTCAATACTCCTTTAGAAAAGAGAAGTTCAATAAAGTAATTATAGCTAACGACTCTTAATTCATTTTCTTGTTTTCGCTGAAGAAAGATTTGTTGATTTGAACATTAATGTTGAAATACAATTGGAGATGTCGCATTAACAAATATATAATTTCTAATAAATACAAATTATATATAAATCGCCGGATACTTACTTAATGACAGATTGAATGACAGAAGACATTTCGAAACAGAAATGAAAATATCAAGGCTTTTTCAATAAGAACCGATTAATTTACAAATCATAAAGCTAATATTTCGTGTCCATTCAAATACAACAAAATAGTGATAAAAATACTGTCATTAATCGCTTTAATGATATTGGAATTACAATATTATACATATAAAATCACAAGCATGTACGGAAAGATCAATTTTGCTAAAGTATTTAAAAATTTAGTTAGTTACAGATCTAAAAATAATTTTGTTCGACCGTTCAAATAATTATTCAAAAACTTCAAATATGATGAGCAATGCTGCAAAAAGTTTTGACAGTCTAACAATCAGTTTAAGAATCCTTATACATAATTATTTTAATGATTCAACAGAATTATTATTTTCAGATTTGTACCTACCTAAATTTTCAAATATATCAACAGAACTGTTCTTTTCGAGTGAAATTATGACAAATGCTATGCACATTTTTAATAAGAAAACGTTATGTATATGCACGAAAAAACGGTTTTGCTGAAGTATCTAAAAATTCAACTGTATATAAGTCTAAAAAATTTGTTTGGATCATCAAAATAATTATGTAGGACGCTTAAACTGACTACTAGAATGTTAAAACTTTTTGTAGCATCGTCATTAACGTTTAAACGTTCTGCATAATTATTTGGATGGTCCAACAAAATTATTTTCGGACCTGTGTCCAGCTAAACTTTTAGATCTTTTAATAATAAAACCGTTCTTTCCATATATTTCTCGCTCCGAGAAGTTTCTTGTAGAAGTCAAATTTAAATTGTAACAAATTGCTTTAAAATGAAAGATACATTGTTAAATATTTGTTGAATATTTGCGTGATAATCTTCATACAAGTGCATTGTAACAAATTGGGAAATAGCCAGGGTCTCACAGATCCAACCGCACAACCGACGAATTAATCTTTACATGGCAGACGAGCTGCTCAAACCACGCATCAGGGATGCGCTCTGGTGAGTCTGCAGAGTTGTAATGGCAGATAACGAGTATCCGCCCGTGGTGGTGACTTTGGTGGCGGTGGCGTCGCGCTCAGGAAACCGCGTTGAAGTTCCCAGCCCACTTCCTGGATGATCGAAGCCTTCCTGAAGTACGGCGTCACTTCCCGCAGGTACTTCACTGCAACAAGAAAACACGTCGTCAGAATGTGTCGCAAAGCAGGTCAGGTAAAAATACAAATGTTTTTGTTTTATCTCTTAATTCTATCTAAACTCTCTCGGTGACTTGCGTAGATAATATATCGTTACATATAGGAAATATTGCAGTCTATTTTAGTTATATTCTTAAGTTTGTATTCTTTTACACCTCCAGATGATCACTTCATTACAGAAAATATACACAAAAGCAATTAAAGAGGTATTGCAAATATTTTTTTAACATAAAAAAATTAGTTAAAAATTACAGATTTTTCTTATGTATTTGAATGAAATACAAAAACTTTGATAGTGATTAGAACCTGAATTAAAAATGATTTCAATAAGAAGTAGACATATTTGCAAAAAATAATTACAAAGTGATAAAATTTTCACTTAAATCATAAAATTGTAGTATAAATATTGACCTTATCAAACTGTTTTATTATGTATGTAACATTTATTTTTATACGAAAGTATACATTTCCAATTTCAGTCACTTTTGCGGAGACTATACACCTAATATATCTTTACCAACATAGATATGATATTTCTATATCAATAAACTGTTTCCAATCAACTTTTAGCTCAAGAATGGAATAACTGCGGGTAATACGCTAGTTGGAGGAATATGCCACTCGTTGTGTTTAACGTGACACCGATTAGCAGCGCTTGCGTTAATGCCACAAAATTATTTACAATTGCTTAACGTATTGCATGAGTATCAAGAATTTCCTGGCCAGAGCATTGTTTTTATGAGGTAAATATGATGGCATGATATACGAAAAAGTGCTTCTTAAAACTTTTATAGTATTTTATATAAATTATTATTTAAACATTACACAATATTTAGCTCGATTGTTAATCTTAATGTAGATTAAAATGAAAATATTCAGTACATGATTTATTTTCTTAACAGCCGTATTGTATAGGCTCATCATAAGATGAAATGGCGTCTTGAGGCAATATGCCACCATTTTTGTTAGGATAAAATGCCAATTTTCTCTAATACATAGGTTAGAGCGCTAACAAACGTTTCGCCGCATAATTCCATTGTGGCAGAATATTCGTATTGACAAATACTTAATAAATAAATTTAATTGTTTATTTATTTGCTTATTATTGTATTAATTATATTAATTTATTGCTCAATTAAAAATTCTGAATAGAGAATATAGTTTTTCAATCCATTTTAATGGATTGAATTTTCTCGATTAGTCCTCTCTCATTTATCTTCTCTACAATTGAACAAAGATTAAATTTCCATATATAGTACATAACAGACATAGTACACGTAATGTACAAGTTAAAGATAAATATTTTACGATCCCTTACGTCAAATCTATTTCCAAAAGTTTCCTTCCTATTTCTAGTATGTTTCATTGCAAACTAGCCTTTTCTATCTCCAACACATTAAAAGGTCTTATTAAGAGAGGAAAAGACAAGTTAGATCTTTCAAAAGTTAGATCTCCTATCTAATCAGAACGTTGTATAAGATTTTTTGTGACGATTGTGAGGCGAGCTATGTTGATCAGACTAAAAGAAAATTAAGTACGAGATTAAACGAGCATATCTCTGATATTAAGAAAAATACTGGTTTCCCTGTCATAACCGATCATAGTATCAATTTTGACTGGAACAATTTTAAATGGAAAGGTGTGAACATTTTGGTACGCGAATCTTCGTACAATAAAAGATTAGTGTCTGAAATGATTCATATCAAAAGACAGAAACAAGGTCTTAATAAACAAAATGAGACTGAATCGTTACCTGAATCCTACATACAGATTATACAATCTTTCTCTTCTTCTTAATTGCTTTCTTTCTCTTTTTACTTTCCATCTTCCCATTTTCCTTTCCTTCTACTTTATTTTTCCCCCTTCCTTTCTACTACATCACCCTTCTCGTTTAGAATTTATTATTGTCTCTAAACATCTGAAAGAAATGACTCATTTTTCACTCTCATCGTATTGTCTAAGATTAGACGACTTTTTTATAATATATTGACACTCATAAGGTATTTATTTTCATTTAATTTAGCTGCTACTAAATTAATTATATATAATTTGTACATCGCACAACTTCTTATTAATGTTCTTCAGTGTACTTTCTTTGTTATATATTACTATTTTATTCTTATTCTTATGCCTTGCTTTTTATTATCTCTATCATTACATTGTATTACTATTACTTATTCCTAATATACTTTTACATTATATTTGTACTTGTGTCTCTTTAACAGAAATAATTATGGCTCTCTATAGTACATTCAAATTACCAGAGGAATACACTGTTAACAACACTCTGATAATATCTACTACATACTGAGAGATATTATTGATAACTTTAATACTGCGATCGAGAGCGAATTATAATTTTATGTATCTTCTCTTTGTAATATTTTTATTGCTTCTAACATTGATAATGATCCGACATGCATCGAAACGTTTGTTTTTTGTTTCGTTTATTGCCGGCATATTAAAGTTAATATTTAGTTAAATGAATTTTATTTATTAACGTTTTCAATTTTTAACTTGTAACGATTAATCTTAGGCTTATAGCTCTTTTTCTTTCGATTTTAGATTACTTGTAAATATAAAGTAAAACGAATATTTATTTATACGTTTCGTATTTATACATTACATACTTTTACTTTAAAAAAAGGTCCAAAATATAATTGAATAATATCTAAATGTTGCTGTAGATGGATCACGAGGACTGTTAAAAAGATATATTTCTATTGTTAAAAATATGTCTCAAAGTTTATTTTATATTCGATAATTTAATTTATCGAAGTTATTACTTATATTCCTTATATTTATATTATCTATATTATGTTACAAATTTTTATTTTCATTATAAAAATCATTAATAATGTGTTTCTACGATAAAAAAAAACAAAATAAATGTTATTTTTCAGCACTTCTGTATTTTTTTATTTTTAATAATAAAAAATAAAAATGTTCGATTCCAATCATATACAAATAATAGATAAAAGATGAAAGAAAAAGATCAGTATGTAAAATTATTTTAAATTGAACAAATAATTAATCAAAAAGTCTAATTTCGCTTAAGTGTGGCATATTCATCCCATTTACCCTGTAAAATAAATTTCTCTTTTATCATAATGCAACATAAGCGTCTACGTACATTACATTACAAATAATTATATTTTATCGTTGGCATATCGTCAGTAATTGTTGCAATAATTTTAATTTTATCATACCTTTTTTATTAATAAAAAAAAATTCTTTTTATAAATAAAAGAAAAAACATTTGTTGTTACAAAGTTTTTAACATATAGAGATTATAATCTATATATATATGTGTATATATTTCAGCATGCAGAATTACAATTATTGAAAGAAATACTATTAAATGATGTTTTATTTTCTTCCAACATGATTTGTCATGTTTATTCTTGATAAAGAAAATTATCGATTCGTGAATGAGTTCATTATTGAAAAGAGAGAGTAGATTCTCCGAAAAAACTTTAAAACGACGAAAAGCAATTTACTTTTGACGTACTTTACATTATAAGCTCATATAAGCTCAAATATTTACGCGTTCAAGGACCTGCAAAAATTCGGCTGCGAAAATGTAACTTTCTTTTCGAGAGAGACTGCGAAACTCTGAAACGAAAGTCGTGTCGCGGAAATCGAGTATCGACCTTTCAAATTGCGGGGGCTCCTCCGCTTAGTCGACATCTTGTCGGTCCTATTACGCGAAATTTAATGGAGAACGTGGAGACAGCGACGAGACGGGAGCGGAATTCTGATGTATCGTATCCACGATGATCCAATATGTTTGCCATAAGGCTTCATATAGATGGTATGCGCAGCCAGCTGTATTTACTCCCTTTCGATCTCAAACGACATTTCTGCAGATCACGCCAATCCCCTTGATTGAATATATCAGCATTCATCAGCGTTAGCGTTCAATGTCAGCGCCTTTGTTTTCATGTGGCTTTAGTTTTATGAAAGTTATGACAAGGATTTACTCTAATTAAATTAATTTTAGTTTATATTAATATAACTTCTCTGTTACATTCTTACTTACATCATTACCTTATTACATTATATAAATTCTTCTTACATACACATAGTAATAAACGTGCAGGGCACATTTATATCTACATAGATATTAAATATTCGATGATACATCGACATCAGCCGAAAATAAAAATTAACTTTTTTCGCAACTTTACATTATATATAAAATTTTATTTACGATTCAAATTTATTAATCAGATTGGACGAATAGTATAGGGAATTTCTGTCAAGCCGATATCCGGTGGAATTAATTTCATTCTCAAAGGGTTGATCGAAGGATAGGACCAGCGACGTGTGTCCACGGCCGAAGATCAAGCTCCCATCCAACTTTTCATGCGCGCACGTACTCTCGGCGACCTAGCTGTCGTATGCCGACGCGCAACGTATTTCTATTGAATTTATTTCGGTGCCGTGGACGGTGCTCGTTGCTGATTGCAGCTACATCGAGCCGGCCAGGCAGCAAGGCAGACAGCAGGCAGGCAGGCAGGCAGGCATCGGGACGCCCGCGTCGGACCCGACGCAACGCAACGCTTCGCTTGCCAGTCACGTATTCCTGCATCATTTGCTATGGGTTTCATACCAGCCATAACTCTACGGATATATCCACCCCCTCCCGCCTCTGTAATCCCCCCCTGCCCACCCTCTTTATCCCCTTCCTCTCCTCTCTCTTTGGCCTTCGACCGCTTCAAATCCCACGCCATAACTGCTGCGTCGAAATTGTGTCCTCGCAGGCTTGCAGCTCTTAATCCGCCACGCATTCATCGCGCGAGGAAGTAGCGTCGGAATTAATCAAGTCTTGCCTGTCGTCGTTAATTTGAGCAAAGGCCGCTAATTTTCATTCGCCAGCGAGCTGTTAATCGCGGAACGGCCTTTGACAAAACAGAATTCACGACGGGATTGAATAGCATTGTACCGCTTGCGAGTCGGCAAGCAT